CGCAATTATATTATTAATTATACGACAACCTTCATTTACTGCCCTTCAACATTGTATATTCAATAAACTAAACGAAAATTCATCTAATAATTTTTTTGGTAAATTCATTCACGAATCCATATTTATAGCCCTTGGTATGTGCTTACTAACATAATATAACTTTTTTTTTGTCTGTTAAACGATAATTTTAAAGATTCTTTTGTTAAAAGATATTTATCAAAATAGTTTCTGATTTTTCTAAGACTTTACCGAGAAAATAATAATATGTTGTTTTATATTTGGCCTTTAAAATGTAAATACTTATTATGCTTTTTTAAGCTAATGCAATTTAGATTTTTATATGGGTTGATACCACGTGGTCTTAATTTTATATTATACATAATTCACTGTTATATTTTTATATATATATGAATATGACAAGATCTTGAAAACTAATTTTTTCGTGAATAAAATATTTGATACCTTTAACCAAACTAAAAAATTCTAATCGCATCACTTTTCTTACTAAATACTCCCTTAAAAAAATACTCAGATACTCCGGATACTAACAATTAAGTAAATTAAAAAAAGTTATTTTAATGGTTTATTTGTATTCCAAAGAAAGTCTTTATTACAACATGTTTAATAGAATTACATTTATATTTGAGTACTGAAATTAGACATAGTTACAGAGTCGTGTTAAACATTACAGCGTCCCGATGCAATTTTTTTTCTTCGGGACCACTGGGCACAGGTAGCATATTAAATGCAGATAAAGGCACCCCCTTACTTTAAAAAAATTATGGCCCCCAAATGTAATTGCCTCCTTTGACCCCTCCCCTCCTTAACACAGCTATGCATAATTATCACTTTACATTTCATTTTTTGTTTATTATTTAATGAACAATAATGATTTATTTATAAATAATTCATCCTATCAGAGTTTGAGTAAAATAGATATTTTAAAGTAAATCTATAACTATTAATGAAATATAAAAAAAATTACGAGACGGCATGTTTCAAATGAAAAATTTAACATGAATATCCATAATATTCATAATTTATATTATAAATTTGTGATCACTCTATACGACCTTCGTCTATACTATCAGAGGTAATGAATTTACAACAATAGATATAAGATAATTATAGATGCACGTGCAAATAAAACTGTGAGTATTTAAAGAAAAAAAAACGATTTTTATATTTAACACTGAACAAAGTTTTACGTGTACTCGTTTTATTAGTCTACATGTGTGAATATACATGATTTTAACACAAAGTCATTGTTCTTATAACATACATAACTATGTTTCAATATATATCAATAAAAATGAAACAACTCCCAGATGTTCTTAGTCTAGTTAATTTAATAAATTTTAAAAATAAACAGATTAAAAATCATTTAAATATTTTGAAATTTTGAGTTTTATATTTAGATCAAACATTTTTCAGAAAAAGCTTACAGCAGTAAAAAATATTACATATTTTGGAGATTCCGATTGAATATGATATGATTACGAAAGGTTTTTTAATGACCCAATCATATATCTCATAAGACGACAGTTTTCATAAGCTAATTATTAATTAGTCAATATTTGATTTCATTGTTTTTATATTTTACAAATTCGTTGTGCGTTAATCTCAATAGGCATTATTTTATTTTGTCGTGCTTATTATGATTGTAACTGTTAATTTAGTGAAATCATAGAGATACATATATACACATGTTCATGTAATAAATATTATCTTCACATATATATTCAATTATTATAGACTTCATATTTTTATGTTTTTTAATTACAATGAAGAGAAAGTAAAGTTTGAATCGTGCGTTACTATAAACTCCTTTCAATAAAATCTTATTCGAAAACAATATCTTATTGTTTTGAAATCAATAAGAAACATACATTTTTCATATCTTATCTTAATAATTTTAACTCACTATGGTACATATCGGCTTTAAAACGTTAACATGGGTGCACCTGTATCATTCAAACTTCTCGTGAAAATAATAATTACCTATTACTCGTATTCACTCAGCTGTCTGAAGTTGATAACATCTGCGGCACTATCAATAGCTTAATGCGTTTTTATAAATTAGATAGGTATCACAGTGATATCTATACAAATTTAATTTTTTAAAAGAATTAAACCCATTAAATCCCGAAATATAGGCTCGAATCTGATAACAATTTCTTATATGTATCTATACGATTAACATAAGCTAATAAGTAGCTCGCGGATTTCTATGCAATCATATATTTCTTTCCTTATAACTTTTTTGGATTTTTGTCAGTTATCTTCACGAATCATATTAGTTTGAATCTAATACTGAAATTATTTTTTTTTTATATTTCTGCATATTTAATGGTTATTGTATATTTTTACAAAATTCGAAATGTATTGTGTATTGAAGTGTAAATTTAAAAAAAACGTATTAACTAATATTTTTTCAAGTAGAAATATTAAAAACAATTTTCTTGGCATTAAATAATAACTGAAATAAAGATTACGACGTAAACTTTTGTATCTACCTATAATCTTCATTGCTCTTGCTGTGTCAGTTAGTTATCGACATACGACTCACTGCCTTAGTTACGTCGTTTATCGTTCATTCTGTAAATCGTAAATATAAGTAGTTCGATTTGCTCTAAAATTCGAGAGTTGACTTCCTCAGCAAACAAAGACACTGAGGTTTTCACTACTGATGGAAAAATAATATTTTGCATTCCTTGTGAAAAATCTATTAATTGCGAGAGAAAGTCTAGATAGATCAACACAAAAAACAGGTACTTATAAAAATAGAAATAGATTTCCTATATTTTTTAATAAATCTATTTTAGCTGCCCATGTGCCTGCACTTAAAAATAAATTATGAAAACAAAAATTACTAATAATCTAGTACAACTAGATCAAGTTCTACAAATAACATTATTTTTTGGAGATTCATGTTTTATTATGGTCTCTTCTGGTATACCCTTATAAGTTATTGCTATAATTTGGATTTGTATGTTTTGCATATTTTTCCTTTTTAAATTTTCTAAATTTTTGTTAATAATCTTGACAAAATATATTAATTGGAATTTACCACTAAATTTTAATTTTGAAAATTTTTGCATATTTGATCGTAAATGTATATTTGGTTATAAACGCATATTTATTGCATATTTCAATGAATACACTAGCATGAAAAAATTTCGGTCGGTAGACTCTGAAGTAGCGACAAAGCTTTAACTACCTTAATTTAAAATATGTTTTATTAATTATTATCGTATTAAAAGAAACAGCTCACCGGTAGTAACTCAATGGTTATCGTTTTTATCGATGTAATAATACATTTAATTTTGTAATATAACCTATAGGCTATGAAATGAAAATATAGTAAACTGTTATCTAGTAACAACCGTGCAAGAAATTGATACTGAAATCGTTTAGTTTTACAAAATAAACTATAACAATAAAAAAATACTAATTTTAAAAATATTTCCCAAGCATAAAATGCCAAAAATGAGTAGTTCCTTAAGTTCTAAAATACGTGAGTGGATTTTTTTGTGCAAACACGAACGCATAAGATTTTACATCATATGGTAAAAAAAATATTTTTAAAATCACCCAGCAAATTTCAATTTCCAGAAATTAAATGAAAATATATCTTCCTGCCAAGGTAACAATAATTGAATAGTCACTGCTTTCTATTATGTGAAATATTTTATTAAATGTCAAAATGTAATAGAAAAGTTTGCAAAAGATAATGTACATTGTGTTAAAAAAGTACTTTATATTAGATATTAAAGATAGATCGACTGTATATGAATTAACATTTATATCAACTCATTCGTCTTTTTACTTGAAATAATTAAAAAAAACTAGAAACTCAATTTTGAAATATATTTTTGTCTGAAAGTTTTCTTTAGTAAAGTAATTTTTTCAAAAAATATATATAAGCAAGGCTTTTAGCAGCTGCAGCTATTTTCAATAATTTTTCTCTTTTCTTTAATATTCCTTTGATAATTCTTTTATTTTTCTTCATTGCATAAGTGTCTACCATATAATGTCGATTCATCTTCAACGCGGTCTTTCCCGTGGTCTTGTTCCTTTCATTTCTTCTATTATGATTCTATTCATTAGTATTTCATCTGTTCTCCATTTATGTCCCATCTATTCTAGACGTGTGACTCTAATGAACTGAACCACATTTTCTTTTTATAAAGTGCTTATAGTTAATTGTTTGATTTTATTTTCTATTTCTGCTCTTTTTGATTATATATTGGGCTATGCGTTTTCGTTAGCATCTTCCTTTTGAATCTTAAGAACTTTTCTTCGTTACCTATCGTTGTTACCCAAGTTGAACAGGTATATGAGAGTACTGGTCTCATCTAACTAATATATAGTTGCTCTATTGTTAATTTTATACTAGTTTTGATCTAAATAGGTTTACTAAAGCAAAGTTTCATCTATTTTCAACAACCAGTCTTAGGTTTATTTTGTCGTGCATGTGTTCTGCTGATTTAATGTCACCCCTAGGTATTTAAAATTTTTTATCTGTTCTAATCTGTTATTACCTTCAGGTAGTTTATAGTTCTTATTTTTCTTTTCATTATCATGTACTTCGGTTGCTCAATGTTTACTAATAATCCAATAATTTCTGCTGCTTATCATTTTTTCGGCCAATCGTGATAAATTAATATGAAGTACTAACCAGAACACATTTCTGTGTAATTCCGCCGTGAGGTCTAATTGGGCCACAATAACTGTAACCTTGGTGGCAGATTTTGGATGGGTAAAGGGGGAGAGTTGTCTAGGGAGATAGAAACGAATCGATTGATTAAAATGCGTAGCAGAATATTTCACGAAGATTTACGTGTGTTATCACACGTCACGCACGCGGTCGCCACTGCTTATCGCTTTGTCGTCGTCGTCGTCGTAGCCTCGGCTCGCCGATCCGTTTAATCAAACTCTGTGTACGGGAACGCGATAACGGTGCAGCGGGTCGAGACGGACAGTTATAACAATGCGGCGCGACGCGCGGTCGGCCTCATTTTCGCATCCGTCTCGCGGCAGTCCGTCCGTCCGTCCGCCCGTCGATCGCGACCCGTGATCCCGCAGTGCGTCTGTTTACTGTCGATCTTTTCACGTCCGGGCCCTTCCCCGCCCCATCACTCTGGGGGACGCTTCGCGGAACGCGTCCGTCCCTCGTAGTCAACCCGCGTGCGGAAATCCTTTTCTCGCCGCGGCGACGACGACGACGACGACGACGACGACGACGACGACGGAACGCGACGTGCACAAGCGGTTCGGCTGCCGACCCCGGTGGGTAACAGAGGCGACGCATTGCTGTAACGCAGTGTCTTAGTATATCCGATCAGCTGTCGGCTCGGCGGGGAAGTGACGTGAAACCTTCGCGGACCCATCGAACCTCTTGTTTTCTCGTTTTCTTTCCTTCACCCATTTTCTTTCCACCTCTCCCGCTCTCGGCGTCCCTCGACAGTGCGCGGAACCGGTGTCGGCGGCACCCGGCGTCAACACACGACTGCTGCGCTCCGAGTCTCGTGCGTTGAGGTAAATCTAACATATTGCTCCGAAAAACATAAAACCATTTAAATAAGCATCGTGTTCCAAATGACGTGTTAGGCTCTACAACACAAGAAACACACACACACACACACACGCATACACATACGAGCATCACAGTTCCACCGCCCGGCTCATGGGTAACGAAATATATTTCTAACAGTGCACACCGATTGTATTTATTACGCGATCACGTACACAACGCCATCCGCTGCGCGAACAGGTCGAGAATACGTTCGCTGTCCGTTACCGCTGTGCCATGTTCCTCCGAACCCCTTGGATCGCCCTTCAGGACCGCGATGCTGTCAAATCAATGACGCGTTCGTGGGCATCGAGGGGCGGACACCGTTCAGGTTGACAACATATTTTGCAGAAAAGAATTGATCAAATTACAGTTGCTATAATTATTGCAAAAGTAAAAAAAAAAATATTACTATTGGATAAATGTATTTAGTGATCCGTCAAATATTTTTTATGAAAAAAAATTATATCATTGCGTCGATATTGAATAGAATGAGAACGAACGCTAGTAAAATATTGTTGCCTTGGCGTTTAACATTTTCAAAAAGCCACTGCTCCTGGTTGTTGAACATTGATCAACCGACTGCTATTTAGCCAAAAAGAAAATAACAATAGTATAGACTATAAAAACACCTTAAAACCAAATCACCCGAACATAGTAGAGTTTTCGATGAGATCGGTTGGAATTTCTTACTGTGTCAAATAATACAAATAATAACAATTGTTGTTCAGTTCAAACTCCCTGAATAATAGAAAAAAAAAATTCACAGTTCTTGGTGGGCAAAATATTTTTCTGTACAATTGTATGATTGAAAAGCTTGTACGCCAATGTAGTTTCAGCAATATTCATTTCATCATTCGTAAAAATTATACCATTCAAGCATTTTTGAGAAGTGAAAATTATGGACATTATATTCAGTGACAAGTGTTCCGAGCTCAGAGGCAAGTAAAATTAATCATATTTTAAACGGGTATTACATTCTAAGCGGAACGAGGAAACCGTTGATCTTATACGAATATAATCCAGAGTTTACATTTTGTATACATGTATATTTTATTACATTTAAATACTTTTTGGAATACTTCCTAAAAACTATAAGCAAGTTTCAAGCGACGTCGCTTTAGGTATATTTTTAATATAAATAGATAAAAAAAAAATTAAAAAAAAAATGTGGGATATATTATTAAAGCAAACAATTTATTTTAATAAAATCTTAACAATTTTTCGGTTAAACACATTCTGGTCATAATCCTATTTCATTTAATGCAGTAATTAATCTCTTCAGTATTAAAATAACTATACACATCTAGAATTTAAATAAACGAAACAAGACAAGTAGTGTTAAATGTTAGAATTACTGTCCTTGTTTATTTTTACTCATTACGATTAATTCTTGAATAACTGAAAATCTAACACTGTTGAATATTATGTACCGAAATTCTTCTTAACGATTTTTACTATAAAATTCACGCATTGGTTCTACTAAATGCTTGGAATATTTATAAATTAACCACTAATTTGTACGTTGTATACATTATCTATTTTTCACTCGTCACATAGTTGCGTGTCAAGATTATTTAAATGTTTGCAAAATATTATAACTACGTCAATCGTTACTCATGAAAATTTTGTTTATAATGGCCCCAGTTAATTTCACCGTGATTAAGTCACTAGGTTTATACATACAGATAATACAATTGCCTTATCAATGCGTCCAAATCGATAGCCTGCTGTCATTATATTTTCGGCCGATTATAACAGACGTACATAGATCTAACTAATTTAAAAATGTTTCTTGTTTTGATTCGATTATTCTGCGAGTTAACACAGCTATGATAATGTTTTTCTTTTTTAAATTTCAACAAGTCTTACTTTGTCTACGGTCATTTAGTTTTAATATTTTGTTACTTAATTACAGCAATGCCATTGCATGTATGCAGGCATGTGATAACAAAACACTATGTATAGTGATATCGTATTGTTATATAATATATATTTTATTATTTTTTTTAAATAACTCCAAATATCAAATAAGATTTAATTTTTTATCCACTGAAAATTATTTAGTATTTCATTTATTTCTGACAAAAATAATACACGCCCGTCACTTAAAACAGTCTACTTACATTTTCCAATAAAAATAAATATTTTTAGTACGTATTTTAACATTGAAATTCTCAGATAGCGGTCATAAAATTTTTGAAATATATTACATTTTTCACTCGTTTGGTGTACGAATACAATTTTATTAAAAATACGTATATATGATGAAAACGGTAAATTGAATAAATTCGTTTTAAATGATGTGGATAAACACATAATATTATTTACCTACAAAAAATTTTAAATTATTTTATTCGAGAAAATTTCGGTTTATATTGATGTTGATGAATCAATGAAGACTTGACTTTTTTTTATAAAAAATTTCATTGTCATATTATAGCTGTCTATGAGTAATATTTAATAGCTAAAAATAAATAAAGTAAAACTGTGGTAATAGAATTTTGATGATTAGAAATATTTACAATTAATTTATATTAAACTAAATTTCAAGTTTAGTAAATAAATTATCAATATAATTAAATATCATATGATGTATTATTTGATGATGAGAAAAAATATAAGACTTTTTTAAATCTTGTTCATTTAATTGATTAAACATTATGTAGGTTATTAAATATTACAACTCTACTAAACGTATATTATCTTTAATTGTTAATTGTTTAATATTTAAATATAATCATATTATGTTGTGTCAGTAATAATTCTCAAGTACAACGTGCTTTTATAATAACTATAAAACTTATGTGTTTTTATTTCTATAAACCGTAAAAACTTTCAGTTTGTAAAAAATAAAATTGCAATGTAGTTAATATTCTTAAAATAAAAATATTTGTTTTTATAATTTGTGTAACTTGTACTGAATTTATGTTATATACCAAAAACAATCCTGGAATAAATCCTATTGCTAATATTATAAATATTTTTTTAGAAAAACACGCAAAACTTCCTTATTTTTCGATTAAAATTAGTTAGATAGATCAAAAAAAAAAAATTGTATGACAACAAAGTCAAAAAGTTTAAAGTACGAGTACATAATTAAAATATAATAATAAAAAAATAATAATACCACAATGTTCTGGTATTCAATAATCCTTTTATCAATTTTTGTATGAACATCATTTGCACGCTTCATGACAAACGACTATAGTTTTGCATTAGTTTAAAAACATTATAAACTATTTATTTTAATTTAATATTTATTCAATTTTAATCGATCAGAAAAGTTAATTACATATTTTGTCATTATTTCTTCGTGGCGTATCGTGTATTGTGTTTATCTTAACAGAGATTGGAATACAGTAATAATACTATCAAAAGTAACTCTTCGTTGTATTAAGTATTTTCAGTTGATCGGTAAATCATTCTTTACATCAGTCCCAAACCATAATTAATTTATATATTTATTTAACAGTATAAAATATTTAATTGCGTTGATATGATTTTTACTTTGAAATGTTCAAATCACATATTATGTAACATGGTTTAATATTTTTAATAGCACATACAATAATTTCAAGAAATACACATTTTTTAAGGTACACTTACACTATTATATATTATATTTAGAAAATATTTAGACTAGTGCATATCTTTTACCTATAATTACATATAGCACAATGAATAAATTTACTTTTGATAAATATTCTAAATATTCCGATTATATTTAAATCGATAAAAATAAGTAAAATATTATATGAAGTTAAAGTCTACCCATAATGTGATATAATTATAAATAAGTCGGTTTATAATTACATTTTATTAATGTTATTATAATGATATGTAATCTTCGCATTACAATTCAATAGCTCTTAACATTTAAGATACTCTTATAATACAATGTAGAAAAAAAACTATGCACAAAAATTATTCTATATACATTAATGTATTATAATCTTATTGACTGTCTCAATTAATATAAATGTAATACAATTTATATTCAAAATGCAAGATTTTAAATTTTATTTAGAACATCTAATATATACATTTTTACTAGTACATCATAAAATATATTCAATTGTTCAAATGGTTGTTATGTACTATTGTTAAATATTTAAACATTTTATATTATTTCATACTAGGTGACTTACAAATTTAATTATTATAACTAAATATAGTAATATGATAAGAAAACAATATCTGTACATTAGAAGTTTTTTAATCATAACCGAAAGCTAATCTAACAAATGCTAAGATAAATATAGGTCGAATTTTTAATAGTTGTGTTCTAATACTTATGATTTTATTAAACTATGAATTTAAAAAATATACGTTTAAAATATTGATAAGTTTTCAAGTGAAAAATCGGTAGTAGTCGGTAACTCATTTCGGTCTTAACTTATTTTCAGACAAAGTTAATCCGTTATCGATTTATTTTTCACGTTGTTAACTTTTTGTGGATTGGTGGACTATATATCTATACAATTATATAATCCAGTAAATTTTGTTCAAATTATATTTTTATGTTATATAATATGATTTTTTTTTTATACTTCAATATAAACTTACGGTTTACAACTATTGCAATAAATTCCAATCGCAATATAACTAATGGAATATGAAGTATAATTAATTATAATAGAAAATATGATTTTGACTAATGAGTCGTTTTAGACATATGATTTTTAAAAGTGTATTTACCAAAAACCACTTTATGTAACTAAGCTGTTAACAATCCATACGTTACTTAGTTAATGGTGTACATTACATTTGATATAACACAACAATAAAAATCAAATTGTAAAAATGTTGTGACTTATATGTTATGCTACATATAAAGCTTACTAAACTCAAATATGTGCAATTTTTAAAAACAAATTAATTAACTAAACATGTCGGGTAATACTAGTGTGTGCTTCTCAAATCTGTCATTTTTGTTATTATAAAAGTTATGATTAGTAAAATTCATTCAAAACTGACTTATTTTTTATGATTTGTATGTAAATTGTTTTTATTTATTGTTTTTCAATGAAAAGTAAAAGAAAAAATTTTAAATTGTTTTACGTGGTTGATTCATAAATCATAGCGAATATTACTTCTAATATACGAATTCGTATATACTCTCGATTTCAATTAAATCATATAATATAAACTTTATTTAAGTACACAAATTAATATTCATTAATTCTCACTATTTTTCAAAAGTGGAAACCTTTGAAGATTCCATTGCAAAATGTAAGAGAAAAATTAGTACAATATGTATAAAACATATTCTTACTTGAGTTTTTGGCTACTATACAAGTAATATAATTCCATAATGAAAGTTTGACCATAAGAACGGTGATTATGTATAATATTTGATTTACGATGAAACAGGTGTCATAAATAAATAACTATGGGTTGCTATTAGTAGGAATAATATATTTTTAATTCTTAACCATCACATTTTATCAGTTTTATATACTAATTATCATGTTGTGTAAAAATCTTATTCAAATACGATTATTCTAATTTTTAGGTTCCATAGGACCAGATTCACCCAAGATGACCTCCTGGGACTCATATCTGGCGGTAGCGACGTTTCTATCATCACCAGAAGAGTTTATGGGTTGGTTTGTCGGATTCGTTTCCTTATTCAGTACAAACCTTGTAAGACCGCTGAGACTAGCGTTAACATCATCCAATAAAAATGCAAATAAAAAGTAAGCAAAAAAGTCATAATACTTTAAAATAAAAAAATATTATTAGGAAACATATTAAAAATTCACTTAAAACAAAAATTGTATGCTAATTTTAAAAATTAAATCTTAATTAATAATGACAATAATCTATTTTAAAATTAACAGTACACAGTATATAAATTTCCAATTCCGAAATTTTGCTTTTGCTGAATTTTTAAATTTATCATAAACAATAATTTAAATTTATTTTACATCTTAGTGTAGCCTTTAAATCCATTTAATATGATATATTAAAATCATAGTATAATATTTGACGTAATCAATTTTTATTTAAAGTAAAATACGTATCGTATTTGTTCTTAGCGGTGAATTTTTAATAATAGCGAAAGAATAACAGCGATGATATTATGTAATTATTATATATCTTTTTTAAAAAAAATGAAATTTTTCTTTAAAAATAATAAAATTAACTGTTCTCGTATCTGATAATGATAATTATAGTTATATGATAATATCACTGTTATACGTAAATATACACTTTTGTATTAATTTTATTGCTACCATAAATTTTGCGCAAATATGGTGTATATGTAAATATGGATGCACCGTAGCTCCGCATTCTAAAAATATTTGAAATACCAAAATTCCACATGACATGAAATTGTTTAAAATATCTTATAACCGAAATTCCATATTTATCAATAAACCTAACTACATAACTACCTATACAAAATTTGAATTTTTTTAAAATCTTAAGGCTTCGTTCGCTACGCATGCTGGCTCCACTTGCAAACTCGAGTGCTACTGCGTAGCAACTATCGTAGGGATGGGACCACCCCAAAAGGAATTATAGTCTAAGTCTAACTTCGTTATTGTACAAATCTTGATACTGTTGCGGATGGAATTATGCTTTTTATGTGTACTTAAAACCTAGTAAATCAAGTAATTAAATGTGAAATAATAAATAATTTTGAATTTATAAACAAAAAAACAGAATTATATAATGAAAATAAAATAGAATGGTAAGAATATGTAAAATTATCATATTAATTATAATAATTATAATTAAAAAATAATAATATAATTATTATATGACTTACAAATTTTTTATTGCTAATTTTTTTAATTCTAAAAATATATTTTGCGGAGTTACGGTATCGAAAAAAAATAATTGTGTGGAGGTTCAAAAAAAAAAAAAATGTGTGTTGTGGAGTCGTGGTACTATTTTATAAAATGGTGCCGATTCGTGTGCAGCTACGGTGCTTCTATTAATTTATATCTGTGTACCTATATACATTTTTATATCTGCAATTTGAATATAATAATTTTAAGTTGCACTTGGACGTTCACCCTAAAATATTTTCCCTGTGTCATCCCACACCAATAAATACGTATCGTTAACATCATCGAACTATCATTGTTTATTACTAGGTCTCAGAAGTTGATGCATTTTGCATTTTTTGGTGTTTTTTATTTTTTAAGTCATTTGTTGACATTTTTAGGTCATTTGTTGACATTTTTAGGTCATTTTTCCAAATATTTAGCTATTTTTACTGATTTCACACAAGTTCACTATTTACCGTTTATAGTCGACCATTTTGTCGATTACTTAAGGCTAATCCGATTTTATCTCGCCATTACATTCGTCGTGTCGTTGTCGTGTTATAGTGAATAATACTTATTATATCTAAATTTTATTATTTTTCGTTTTATTTTCAAAATGGCGAAAATTAAAACGTCGGTTAGTGCTCGTCTGCGTCTCCCAATCACTTCAGTGGACATGGAGAGATGTTTTCCAAATATAAATATTTATAAACAGATAACCGTCGTTTATTTACTTTTTATAACTTCAAATACGCTCTAATTGTACAATGCAACGATTTTTATTTTTGAATAATTTGTAAGCTCTGATAAATTTATAAAACAAATATTTTTAATTTTTTATTTCATATTATAAGGACATTTGTTATCATTTTTGTGTCATATTTTGAGGAATTTGTAAATGTTGATAAATGTATATAGAATGTTATAGTAAAATAGAGTAAAATGTTTGAAAAAATGTGTTTTTATCAATTTAAAATAAATATTTGTAATATTTTTAGGTCATTTTTTAATATTTGTAAGGTCATCAACTTCCGAGCCCTATTTATTACACCCGTTTCGTCGTAGCCTTAAAAATCGGAAACCATTATTGTAAATAACAATAAATTATCATTGTTCATGGATTGCGCCGGCAATCGATTTGTGCCTACTACACATTTTACACACACGTCAGTAAAGAAGAGTATATTGTATTTGCTTGGGCTCACAACCGATAACGCTCACCTCCGGTGTCGTCACACGTCCGGTCGATGAAAATTACGTTTATCGATAACGTTAATGCGACAACATTATAATTCAACAACCGTTGCGTATGTAAAACATTGATTTTAAGTTAAAAATCAGAACACATTTTAGAACACATCGATTACGCTTAGAATGCGCGACTTCTCAATAATATACAGGAGTGAAGTCGTGAATACATACGTTATCAGAGCATTGTCCTTCGATGAACACTGAAAACCATAATTAATCCGTCTGCATTGTACCGAGAAAAAATAAAACATTATTTTAACACCGCAATCGTGTTCAGAATAACTCGCATATATATGGAATACGAAATCAATCTTTTAAATGTACGATTCGAATTTGTTCAAACATAAACCATTATTTTTTATCACCTAATAAATTTAAGTCTTATTTGGTCGTTCGTGGTCAACGCGGAGGAATCGCGCACTTAATGTTTGGCTTACCATAATTATTTTTCTTAGATTCTATTCGCATGATTTTAAATCGAGTAAATCGTTTGAAATAATCAACAGTAAAAAAATTTTAAACGATTGACAAAACACGGTTTATTTATAAGATCCGATAAAATTATACTTTTTTTATTTTATTTTACGTATTTTTTTCTAGTACATTTTTATAGGGCACACGTATAATATGTAATGACGAGTATACTAATGCGATTACTCATATAATTTATTTTTTATCGTTTCATACAATATGATGTGGGCGTCAAATTTCAAAATAAACATTTCAGTTTTGATTGAAATGTGTTTTATCTTTTTTCATAAAAATTAATAATATTATAATATTATTATTAATATTAATTAATACCATTTGAATATTTTGAAAATTGACTAAAATAATAATAAATATCTACTTAAAAGGAATTTAGATTAAATATTTATTGAAAAACACAGTGTTAAATGAGCGATGAGAGTTTATGAATTGCAATATTTATTACCTTTATTTATTACTTTTCATTAGAATAATTTAATGATTTGCTACATATGTTTTATTGGCTTATGATTTTACAGTACGTAAACCAACTCGGAGTAAGTAACTCTGTGTATAATACAAGTACCGAAATTATATATAATAAAAAAAAAAAAAAAACAATAAACAAAAAATTGTTTTAAATTTTAATAAAACTCTGCTTAAAACTACCCTCAGTATGGCGATAACGTTCATCATGAACAAACGCTCTTAGGTTTGCTCCGTTACCAGTATTTTAATTACGTAAATTGCGTTTTCGTTTTCAACGTATATCATATTATGATTCGTTCCGGTAAAATTCCACCTCGTACGCCTACGTCATCAAAAAGAGTATTATCCAGTACTTCTCCAAATTCTTCTCTTCACGAGAGGAAAAATACCAAAACTTTCACCTCACCAAACCGTTTCGCTGTTCTCGCCTCAATTGATACTAACGATGACACTGTATTTGATGCGGCTCCACCTTCCTACGAAATCACTGTACCTTCATCTCTCCCTTCTGACCAGGCAGAGCCTGCGGCTCCACCTATCTACATTAGAAACATCAATAACTTTTCCGCGTTAAAGGATGTATTAATTAAGACCGTTGGCCCCAAGGGGTCTACATGTAAGTCCACTTCTTCATACCTTATCGTCCGTCCCAACGGTCGCGTTAATTTCAACTTATTGTCAAATTATTTGATGGAAATTAACGCCAGTTTCCATACTTTTCGTTCTCACTGTCAGCGTCCACTCAGGATCATTATCGGAAACCTCCATCATTCCACTCTCAGTGCCGATATTTCGTCCGCTTTGTCGGAAGAAGGACACCTAGTGAGGAATGTCCACAATGTAAAAAAAAATAACTGTCCTCTCCCAATATTTTTTGTCGACATCGAACCCAATGTTAATAATAAATATATCTACATTACTTCATTACTAAGCACGAAAGTAGTGATTGAAAAACTGAACAAAAAGATCGCCACAATGTTTCAATTCTTAAGACTATGATCACACGCAAAACTATTGCCATCATCCATGGCGTTGCGTTAAATGCGGCGAGGCTCATGAGTCAGATAGCTGTACCAAGGATCACTCCAGTCCAGCTAAATGCGTCCACTGTTCCGAAAATCATACGGTCAGTTTCAAGAGGTGCCAGTTCTACCAAACTATTCTAAATTGCCACAAAATCAAATTTTCCAACTTCAAAAAAAATATCACACACACACAAAAAACTTGTTCTCCGAGTCCTTCCCCATTGATCCCTCTCAATCCATCCCGTCATATGCTGCTGCTACTTCTAGTTCAAAACCGAACATTAATCCGCAAAACTCAAAATTAAATTTAGCTCTTTCAAAATTCTTATCTGATTTAACATCCATAATAAATTCTTTTCTTTCCAATATATTAATAATCAATTAATTAGGGCATTTACTTTTAAAATTACTTTGTTATTAAATACACTAATATTCCATTACGTTTACTTCTTAACTGACATTATATTCATATTTATTATTAAATCATTATGCTCATTTTGTTTAATTATCAATTCAACTATTATATCACGTTATCTATCAATATTTTAACTGTCGAACTATAATAGTTTATACTGGAAGTTTTTAATTAATAAAAAAAAAAAAAAAACTACTCTCCTACATTAGTTTTATCCAACAAATTTATACTATATTACCTATCATTATTAATTTATATAATATAGTAAT